ATGACATAAGAAATCCCACAAATCAGCTGTCACGCGAGTCCCACTAGCGTCAAGCGTTTTTCGAAACAAGGCTGCAAGTATTGGAAGCAGTGCATCAGGAGCAGCGCACCAGCGATTAATGCGAACAGGGAGATGACGAGGAACTTTACGCTGCACGGAATGCTTTCAGCAGGTTACGTCAACCGGTATTCGTTCATTAACTTTGGCTAGTTTCAAGAAGCAAATCTACAAATCTACGAACCCACGAAATTATGCCATGCAAAAGTACAAAACGTTTATAAGCCAGTTTCCCCAAAAATCGTAGTTTCGTATATTTGTAGCTTGTAATTTCGCCGTATGGCGCTTATTTTGGTTTTAATTAGAAACCTGCTTTTACTCAATCTGGGAAGTAGGTTGAATTCTATAATCAAGTTCATATTTGCCAGTTATGTTGGAAATTAAAATGCCTCATCGGTAAACTAGTCCTAAGCCATTCGAAAGCCAGCTAAATAGCAGAAATTACTTTAACCAAGCGTAAAGAAAGCAAACTGTTGCACATTGTTTACTTGCATAAGCGACGCATTTCATGCGATATATGCCATAATTAAACGCGAGAAAAGTTACGGCAGCTAATATATATGAGCAGCTCATCTCCATAAATCTGAAAAGTTTAACTTATGGAGCAAAAGTGATCTTAAGAAAACTTGAGATTTACAGGTATTTGTCACGATCGGTCGTGCTATCCTGAGTAACAATTCAAAACTAAATATTGTTTTTGTATACCACAAAATGTCTTGCATTATTAAGCAACGATTATAAGAATCAACACCTTGGCTCACTGACCCCAGGCTGCCGCGCTCTGTCAGTGCCAATGCCGTCTTGATCGCACGGCCAGTTGGTGGGATTTTGCGAGTGATGGGTGGTGGCTGATGTCTATTATTCCGCTTAACGACTTGAAAGAGAACTGAGCGTACCTCATTTCACCATAGATATCACAACATTATTCAGAATATGGAAGGCTCCATCACTGGATCTGTCTGGGGTCACCACTGGCAGGGCGCCATTTCTGCTGGTTGTGGAATGTAAGATGTCTTGATATGCATGGGTCTTAACATTTAATTTCAATTTCGCAGAGCTATGCATTCCATCCACAAGCATGTCGAAAATATCCTGTAATTGCGTTGCTGATCACGTGTTTTTGGAAACTACAATCATGAAGGTAAACTAAACTGCCAATGATAGCCTCAGTCTGGCCTCTGCCTGCTGCATTGAATCAATGCAGCAGCAAGTGTACCAGATTTACTTTGTTTTGCCCCTATTAAACTTCACCAATGAGCTTCTCGGTAACAGACTCATTGGTGAAGCTGCCCAAATCGTCATATCATAACAACTGCCCGCTAGCCAATCACAGATGTCGTTTTATTCGTGCTAGTAGAAGTGCACACGGTGGTGGTCGTGACCAAGGCTACTAGAGTAAAAGGCTGTGCAGACATGACGTCACCATGGAACTAAAGTTTGGTAGCCTGTAGTATGGTTTTTGGTTGATGTTGCGAAAAGGTTGGTTCATTCTAGAAACATGGTGAAAAACGGAGATTTCGTTAATGAACTGGGTGACAATGCCGTTCTAAATTTGTATGACAATACAGTATTGCGGGGGCTCGGTCGTGGCAGAGATTGTCACGACCGCCGGGAAGACGCGTTACGCAGTTATAAGGCGTGGGCAGCGGAATATAGACTCTACAAATTAAAATTGTTATCCTTATTATGCATTGACGGTGCTGCAGTGGCACTACCAAATGCCTTTATCACACCTAACTAGGCGTGGAGTTTCATCGGAGCATGTTTCTGAAATATGCCCCAAGGCTGGGACACTCCCTGTAAGAGGTATAACAGCAGGAAGCTCGATTCAAACCAGAATTTGGTTCATATTTAGAAACAAATAAGCGCATTGTCGACCAAGCATTCTAAATCAACGTGGTGCTTGGTCTGAGTGTGAAGATCGTGTCTGCGGAACACTGGCTGCCAGCGAGACATCTGGCCCACTGGAAAACCGGTCCAGCGTTCAATCAAAACGTGTCCCGCAAAAGGTCACCATTGACAGCGGGTGTGGTGTCTTCCACCAACGTGCAAGAACGGCGCGGGTTTGTAGAACAACCGGCCAGCTGGTGGAGTTTTTACACACCGTCAAGAAGATGCGATACGTGGATCACACCAAAACGTGGCAATATAAAAGCTGCTGCTGCGTTGCAAGCATCACTGACGCCAATTCACCCGTCTCACAGCCACAATGAAGGTTGCCACACCTGTCTTAAATGTGCCAGGCTGAATGTTTTCTACTAGGACCAGGATCTTCCGCTGGTTACCCTTACCTTATATGAACCGATCTATTAAATCATTTTTATTAATTGATGAGCTCATCCCATGACATTTCTGATACCGATTTGAGCAAACAGCGTGTTACTTTCTAGCACGACAACGCCTGAGTGGACGCCGGACCATGGTGCGAAGTTGTGTCCCCGGTAGTCCCCGATAGTCCCCGGTAGTCCCCGGTAGTCCCCTAGCGGTAGTCCCCGCTCATTGTGCACCCGGTACCGATTTTCCAGGTTTTCGCAGCTCTCCTCGGCCTGGTGGCCGCCGCCAACTCGTTCGTGATCTACTCGGGCGACGCGCTGGGCTACTCCGGCTTTGCCGCGCTGAAGATTGAGCCAGAGATCACCACCTATTCGCTCAAGGCCATCGAGAAGGAGGTAGGGCCATCACCACTGATCGCTTCATAGCACTTGGTACGCACTCAGCTGTGAGTCGCATCCGTCCATAAATTAGGACTGTCGCATCCAGCATTCGCAAATTGCGCGACATAGACACGTGCAAATGAATTTTTAGCCCGAAATCTGTCATGTTTGGCCCGCATGGACCGGTTTGAATGCTGCCAAATAACACCCGGCATTATGCCACAGGTGTTGAGTGACGAGAGCCCGCCATATGTGCGAAACGCCGTTTGTACCTGATGGTGGCTGTGCCTATGCGTTTTAGGCCGAAGCTACCCATCCGGGTTACGTAGCAATCACCCCGGGAGCCAAGCACGTGGCCCCCCTGCCGTACTTCGGAGCCAGCCATCACGTCAACCTGGCCAAGGCCCCCGGCACCAAGAAGTGATTGTCTTCAGTTCTTTCGCCTTCTGATTTACCCCTCCAGACCATTGCAAGAGGAACTCGTTGACAGTGTCCTTGTGGCTCTTGGAGTCATCAATAAAACATCATATCTTAGCAGCTGTTTTGTCATAGCTGAAAGAACTCGGAACCCAGCCGAGTAAAGCAACGAACAGGTGTGCAAGATGGTCTTCAATGGAATGGCATCGGCCCTAGAAGAGATCTTTCTTATCTTAAAGATCGATACGGGAAAAAGACAGATTGTGGTAGAGCATTGCCTAACGAAAGTTGTTCAGTGCATTTACGAGGAACATTATTCATATACATAAATCAGTAGTAATAGCCTTAGTCCTCTGAGAAAAGCCAAGAGAATGGAGATATAGACGGGTTGATATTTCGGCAACATGTCTTTGTCGAAAACGCACGCACTTCTGCTACTGTTTCGATAAAGGCAGGCTGCCGAAATATCGACCGATCTATATCTCCATTCTCCTGTTTTTTCCGAGGAATAAGGCTATTACTACTGTCTTCATTGCATAACGAAGTTAATGTTGAAAAGCGAGTATCCGCCCAACGCAGAAAAGCAGCGCAAGCTGTCAGCAGAATCTGTAGTCGCTCGGCTTCGAACTACAGCCGTGTAACTGGACAGATACGACATGACCAGGCTGTGTGAAACGATTTAAAAATGTGCATTGCATCAGCCTTCATGCATGCCTGAAATTCCTGTTTCAAAACGGCACTATAAACCAGGACGTACATCACGATCAAGGCCATGCCACCTGTATGTTAGCCGATGCTTTATGACTGAGTGATCTTTTAAAATGTCTTGTGAAATGTCATCACAACTTAAGCGACGCTCAAAACGTTCGATGAACCTCCTATGGACGGTTTGCAGTAGTTGTTGTAATTGAGCTTAACTAGAAATACGACAAGGGACGTCCTTGTATTTGGCTTTGCCTCGGCTAAAACCGTATTAGCATTACGCTTTTCATAAAGCTACACGAGAAGTTCAGCAAGCTGCGTACGCGAGTTTCACTTCGCTCTTTATTAGTGTCCAGCGATCCTTGCTTGTGCCGTTCTACTGTAGTTCGCATGCGAGTCCGAAAATAAGATTCGCAGCTCCTTTCGTAATCCGCTCCCTATAGTACCACGTAATTTCGCTGATTCTTCAACATACGGTTCGCTGATGTATGGCTGAAAAAAATAGTAGACGTATGATGCCAATAGAAGCACAAAGTTACCAAACTAATACTGTCCATTATGATCATCAAAAATCGAAACGGACTGACCGATTAAAAGTCCTGATTACAACCAGTAGAATACATTTTGTCACGTGGCAAACCCGACCATTTTACTTCATCCTTTGGCAAAGGCAAACGCACGCCTATGTCCATCAATAAATCACTTGCGGGGGCAAACATTCCTTGTGCCCAGACCTCTCCTCCCCGCCCCCTCAGCTCGGCTGGATCCGAATATGACCTCCATGATATCCATCTTATCCTATGAATGCTGCGTTTCTCCCACGATATCACTCCTATCTATGACAATATACACATCCCTCGTTTGTGTGAACAACGCTTTTGCCACAGCGTATCAACCGTCACCGATCTTTTTTTCACCACCCGTGCTAAAGCTCAGCGGCTCTCGCGGTCCCGCTCCAGTAGAGGCTCCCAAGAGCCTGGGGCTAACGCATCCGCATGTTTCCTGACGGGTGTGGCCGCCCGCTCAGCTCGGGCAACAAGGGACTACGCAGGCATGGTCCTGGCATACATCGTGCCCTATTTGCACCATATCGGCGTGTAGCGCCGATGGGTTGGGCTGGGTACAAAACATCGTATAAAAAGAGCTCCGTGGGAAACGGCGGCACTCCAGTAATCGTACCGGACCCGAAGCAACTCGTCATGAAGGTAAGGGAAAGCAAAGAGCTTGCGACGAAGACTTGCGGCGCTGGTTGTCTTTAGAACGCAAAATAGGAGCTTGTTGAAACGGTCTTACACAGAAGCGTGAATGCTTTCTGATATCCAACACCGCTGCCAGGGGAGCTGCGTACTGCAGCACGCAGGTGGACAGGACACGAAGAGCACGGCAGATTAAGGTGCAACTTCCTGCAGTACAATAACTTCACACAAGTTCCCACCAAGCGATCATGCCGTTTCAAATGGTTTAAGGTCACCATTGTCCTCCCCGTGGTTCCACACCTCCGGCCCTTGTGCCCATTGAAAGGTGATCTCTTTCTTGACCGATGTGTTGCAGGTGATTATTGCCCTGTTTGCGCTGGTGGCTGTGGCCAACTCGGCCCTGGTGTACTCTGGCCTGGGTCTGCCGGCGACCTACTCTGGCCTGCACGCTGTGGCGTACAGCGCCCCGGCCGTGCACATCCAGCCACAGATCACCACCTACTCGCTCAACCCCATCGCCCACGAGGTAAGCCACCAAGCTTGTAAGAGTGAGATAGCGCACAGCGTACTTCTGCCAGCCATCAAAATGAAAATGATTTGGGCATGCATTTCATGATGTTTTGTGAAGCGCTTCGAAAACGTTCGGATTAAGGTTGTGCCATCAGTGTTACGGTTGTCAGTGGGATATCAAGTTGTTATTGATGTTAATGCTTGTCGGCGTCCAATGCAGTGAGAGCCCCTTCTGCACATGAGGTTATGTTTTACTTGAACTATATTCCTTGAACTTACTCATGGACTTGTTTACAGAAGCGACCGCTACGTAGACGAGTGTTGCCGCGCGGACTTACGTTCTTTGTTCAACTGCTAATCGTCTGCTTGTCCCCAGGTGAACTACGCCCATCCCGGCTACGTGGCCGTCACCCCGGGAGCCAAGCACGTGGCCCCCCTGCCGTACCCCGGAGCCAGCCACCACGTCAACCTGGCCAAGGCCCCCGGCACTAAGTAATCACCCCACCGCGCATCATCACAACGTCAGCGCATCGGCTCAAACTAAATGGCTTCGGTTTTTGAATAAACGTGCGTATCACCAATAAATCATTCGACATTGAACAGGTTTTTTTCAGCAGCTGGGTTCGACCGCGACACGGCGTGATAAAGCTGACATGATACCACATCCCCAGCCGGGAACTCCGTACGTGCTACCGGGCAAAACAACAAACCTGTGCTTGATTCTTCGGCTGTCACACAGCACATGAATGCGATAATCAGTTAGCTTCTTGGGCTGTTTTGAAGCCGGGACCAGCGAGTTGTCAATAACAGTTACAGTTATTTTATTTAATGCACGCCCACGTGGTGGCTGTTCTGCTCCTATTCGTACAAGGAAAAAGAACGCACTCACAGTACAGAGATACACGCATACGTATAGATACACAGTTTCTGCCAATGCGTCAACGATTTACAACAGCATGGAATGCCTGGCGCGAGATGGCGGGAACGGCCGGCGTAGGCAGCCGGTTCCACGCGGCGCCGGCGCGGCACGGAAAATGCCGCTGGGCGGCGCTCAGTCGGACGCGTGGCAGAGGTAGCCAGCCGACACCGCCCGAAACAGCCCGAGTTTGGCGCTGGGAAGAGTCGGCGTGCGAAGAGCACGCGATGCACTGGCAGATTCGGGGATGTGCAACGCCCTGTACGCGCTCAGGCAGTCCCGGTGGTGCACAAAATCCACGACGCTACGCCGGCCGAGCGCGTCCAGAGCGCGTGAAATGTGATCGCCCCGGCGGGCACCACTCAGTAGCCTGGCTGCGAAGTGCATCACGCTCTGCACCCTGCCTAGTTGACGCTGGGCCGCACCACTCCAGATGGACAGGCAGTATAAGATGTTGTGGAATACTTGGATTTTGACAAGGAGCTTCAAAAACTTTTGGAGTGAAGTGATGCCGGGTTTTGAACAGGGATACGAGGATTGCATTACAGTGTCGAACGAGAGAGGAGGTGTGGGTTCCCAGGTGAGGTGGTGGTCGAGGAGTATACCCAACACCTTCACTGAAGATGATGGATGAATGCTTGCGCCAGAGATGGTAAGTTGGAAGTTGTCAGTCTTTGAGATGGAGAATTTGGTGCTGATCAGCGTGAAGTCTGTCTCTTTGAGGCTCATTTTGAGGCTATTCGACTGAAATCAGTGTTGAAAACACTGAATGAACTCCTCGACACGGGTTTTTAGGTTGGACAGGCTGACCATATCGGGAGTAGCGTAGTCAAGGAGTTGGGTGTCCTGGGCGTAGGATGGTAGGCGGTCGTGGGGTAGGAAGCTGGATAGGTTGTTGATGAAGCTGAGGGACAGGATTGGGCCGACAAGGGATCTCCGGGCCAACCCGTGGAATGGAGATGAGGTAACCGAGCCACCACTGACCACCTGCTTCCGACCGTTCAGGTAGTTCCGGAACCATTGCGAGGACACCACTTGCTGAGGAAGACGTCGTAATCAACGCTGTCAAAGGCTTTTCTAAGGTCAATGATCCTTATCGACGCGACATGGCCGTTGTCGACAGCCTCTGCCAGCCACACGACAGCATCGATCAGGGCGTCATCTGTCGAGTGACGTGGACGGTAAGCATATTGCGATGGCGTCAGTACGTGATTGTCAAGAACGTATGAGGTGACCTGCGAGCAGACGAGCTTCTCGGTAATTTTCGACAGGACAGAGAGAATAGAAATGGGCCGAAGGTTGTTCAGGTCTGATCGATTGCCCGCCTCCACGGCTGACTTTTTTTATTCCTTGAACACCGGGCTGACGCGAGCCATCTTCCAGACGGACGGAAAGGTGCGTGGTATGGTAGAAAAGCTGATCAGATGTAGATGAGCACTACTTAAAGGGAAACACCTTTTCACTGCGTAGAGTAGCACGCCATCGACACCGGCAGCCCTCGACGCGCTCATCTTCCGGATGGCTGCAGAAATCTCCGGTAGAGCGGCTAGGTGCCGGGAGAACACCGAGACACAGACGCGTTGCGGGTGCGGTCCAGCCGGGGGCGCATGCGTGTTACCCCGCACCACCTACGCCTCCGCAGCGACACGGGGGCCAATGGCACCGAAGTGAGTACTGTGTGCGTCCGCCCAGGTGCCCACGTCGTAATCGGGTGTGTCGCACCCTCTCGCTGGCTGCTTTTTGCTGCGTGTCGGCACGATTCACTTCAAACATCAAAACCGTGCACAAGAGAAAAAAATGAAATCGATGGAATCCGGTTGTCTGTGTGAGGGATTCCTGACGGTAGGTCGTCGATAACGGTAGACCGGTTAATTTCAATGATGGTAGGTCGTCTCAAATGGGGTGAGGAAAAAACCTTTTGTCCCGTTTCCCATCATGCCACGCGGTGGGCCCAGTGCTGATTCTATCCACAGAGGACAACCGGGAGATCAGTTGTTCTGTGATGACCACCGCCTCCTCGCACATCTCCTTCCCCTGCTTCTGAGATGGGGATAATGGTATATGCTACCAAGATGCATGTGACAAGAAAACAGACGGGCATAAATGTTACTGGTATATTGAGATCATAATAGCTGACCGTACTGGGGTTAATTCTTGTCGCATTTCAGCGGCCCACCAGAGAATCGAGATAAGCGGCAGCTGATTTTTTCACATCACAGCAGACGATTTGGTCGCGCGGTTCTTATCTTCTGGTGTTCCGATGGCGGCTGGCCGGAGGGAACGTATGCTTCGGAGTTAAGAATTGCGAGCGATTTTTGGCGGACGGCGAGGCTTAGTTGAAAGGAGGAGCCTTAAAGGGCAGCAGTTGAACAAGGCCATACGCAGAGATAATGGAAGTCCTCACAAGTAGGGAACGTGGATGGCTAGTTTTGGTTGTTTCGGTCAGAGTCAACGCCCGTAGGACCAATGCTAAATTTTACAGAGGCTGGAGGGAGGGACTCAGACCTCTTGCTTCTCCTAGTTCCCGTATTCCCGGCTGGAGAGTCGCCGGAAAAGCGTGCAATTTGTCTACGTATTATATGTTGTCAAAATCAGAGCGGCCACCTGAGCAATATGTAGGTTGTAAGCGCTAAATGCAACATTATTAGGGCGCTTGCACAGCGAGAGGACGTATGCTGTTGTGCCGAAACTTTCTCATCACACCAGTTACATAATAATTCTTATTCGAGGCGAGTTCCAGTGGCGTGGTACCAACATGTCGTTGCTGGAAAGCCGCCAAAGACCCTTATGGGATCATGCGACGCGTTTCGCTTTTTCGACGTACAAATGGTGCAAAAATTAAAAAAATTTCTTTGTGAATCATCCTAGCACATGTCGAAGCTGTCTTTTCTCCAAAATCTGATTTGCTGCTTTTCAGCCATGGTGGAGTTTTGTGCCAGATCTCGGCACCAAGAGCAGATCAATATTGAAATCATCTGGCGGTTTGCGGTAGCAACTGACTCCAGTTCCGAGTTTGCAGCAAGCTTGCTTGTTCTGCCCATACAAATGTCAGTCCAAGACCACAAAGATGTTGCCCATCAAGGCCGTCTCAAAGAGGTAGCCGCTGATGCGTAGCTACTGGCGAAATTGGCCGCGAGCAGCTTCTGTGATCGGGCAGCTTGTGTTTTTCTATCAGCCATTATCATTATTACATTATATTCCATTTATATATATATATATATATATATATATATATATATATATATATATGTATATATATCCTAATTGTTTCTATGCTGTGGTTAAATTTTTATTACTTCTTTTTTATATGGGATTTTCTACTTTTTTACTTCCCTCCGCTTGATGAACCCAAGAACTACTTTGCTCCGCCAAGTTCTATGCGGACATTATGTATTTTGCATGATGGAGTAAGTTGTTGGAATAACATGAAGTCATACACGGTATCACATAGTATCACAATCATTTCCCGCCAAAATGTCCTGCCTTCAAAGAAAGCGACATATATCTGACAGGTTTAGAGTGCTGAAATGAACACCAGTCTTGCTTGAGCCACACTCTCGTATTGAGCGTCAATGAGCAGCAG